GTAATATTTTGATTCAAAGCATGTTGGCTCAGGTCGCTTCTTACTGAATGAAATCTGGGCTTCTGAGAGGGATGGATAACAATTGTGCCATAAGTTTTCTTAAAGTCTTCTTCACTCCCGCAGCGTTCTGGCTCGGATCACCAAGCCCTACGCAGGAGAGCCCTTTGTCGGCTTTTCTAAAGAAACTAGCAAAATTGGCTTTAACAAAATTTTCAAAAAACTGTCCATCTAGCTTTTCGTATGGATGGCAAGCTATAACCCCTTTGTTGTACCTAATAGCCACAAAAAGCTTAAGAACTCTTCCACCACTGCCCTCTTTCTTCCCCTTCGCCATTTATCCCTCAGCCAGACCTTCCTTCTTTGTCTTCCATATTCGGCCTTGTGGGGCTTTTGCCTGGCCTTCAGGGTTTCTTTTGTCATAGAAACTCACTCTGTCTAAGTAAAAGTTGTTTACTTTGGAAGTCCACACGTTTCTTGATCTTTCTTTGCGAATCGTTTTAGCCAAGCGATAGCTGCATAAAATATCATTTGAGGAAAGAACCGTCTTTTTACGCCTCTGTACCCAAATCCATACTTGTTCAAAACACGATGCACTGTTCTATTGCTTACTTGACCTGTATGCAATCCGCACGCCTCAACCAGTTTACCTCAAGTGAAGTTTGGGTTTTCATGACGAAGGATTTTGACCTGTTGGGTTAGTAATCTTTCCATTCTGGTATCGATCATAAGAGGTCATCCAGGGCTCGCTCTCATCTTTTTCGTCTTTAAAACCGTCCTTCTTAATTTTAAAGATTGTTGGTAATGAAACTCCCAAGCTTTTCTGATAATTCCCGAGGTCTATGCTACTTATCTTTCAATGCATAGAGTATATATGCCTTTAAACTACTGTCTATGACGCCGTGGAAAACCATGTTTGTTTATCTTATAGGTAACCCCCCAATGACGTAACAATAACTTTCCTGATTATTTGCCAAAATTAGCGGTAATTGGTCGTCCTGAACAATGGCGTCAAATCACTAGGGCAAATACAATAATGTAATGTGAGAATAGTTTCCCCTCCAACGGTCTTTTTGGATTATCCGCCAAAATGTATTAAAGACAATCTTGGACAAAAACTGTTAAGAATTTTGCTCTTTCTTTCACACAGGAAACCCACCCTGCGATTTTGGCACCATGGTGACCCCCTCCTCCCACTCCTCCCTGGTCGATGTTGTTTAGTAGGCAGCAAAAATGTTCGGGCCACACTTCAACATTGTTTTTTTTGGGGGGGAGGGGGGAGTATCTTGAGTGAACCGGGCTTTAGAGGGAAGTATTCTAAAATTAAACACACAACATGCATTTTTCTTAACATTCTTGTCCAAGATTGTAGTTCTTTGGTTGCAGATGATGACTCGAAGAGTTTAGAAAAATTGTCAAGCATTGAGGAAAGAATAGAAAACGGGTTCACTACAACTGACGAGGAAATAGAAGCTGTGAGAGACAAACTTACAAGCAAAGTCAAGTAATTGAAGAGGATTTAAAAGAAACAACAGACTTTTAAGTGCTCAATGGGAAGAGGTCAAGTTGTTGAAAAAGAAAAACCAGTTTTTTCAAGCATGTTTAGACAATACAGAAAAGGAGAATTTGAATCTAGAAATGGAGGTTAGTTGTCTTAACAACAACTAGTGAAACAGGAGGATTATCGTAGACGTGAGAACTTGTGTTTCTATGATATCCTTAAGACCCAGAGGCAATGACTGAAGATTATGTGGAAACTGTAAAGAATGTTTTAGCAGAGCTTGGAGTACCATCAAACATAAAGTTCCATGCTAGGGGCTCCTTAGGGCTCCTTAGGGCTCCTATTGATAACAGATATACTTTTAAGTATTCTGAAGGGATTACCCTAGTTAAATAAAGGTTTACTACTGCTATGCAATTCATCGCATAGGGAAGCCGGAAACGTACGCGGTGATTAGTGTATGTCTTAGATAGCGTGGAACCCAAAGACATTTCTTTTATCATTTTAGATAGTCTGTTGACACCAAGTGGCTGGCTCGCATACCAGAAAGGATCTGTGAACTTGGATTCAGGCTTCGGCTTTTGAGGCAAAGCTTCTGGTTTTGCATTCAGTTCATCAACATACATTTTCAACCATGAAAACACATATCCCTGTATGCTGGTGCTGGACAGGTGGATCTACCTTGGTGGTGATTCTTTATAGCCTCGTCATGGGTCATTGTGATGGATTCGCTTCCTTGACCATCTTTTGGGAAGGTAAAACTATCTAGATTCACCTATCTAGGTGCAGCCGCTTTCATGTTGTGTGACACTCACATCACTTAAAACTGCTCTTCCAATTCTTGGGGAAATGTCTATTACAATTAGTTACACAAAAAACTTCTTAGGAAGCATGATTTGTTAGCAGATTTAGTTCAATTACTTGGGCTCTCATATTCACATCTGCAACTCTGACAAGAAGCAATATTGTCTAAAAGAATACATAATCATCATTAATGAGTTTTGATCCTAAACATTATTGTTATTGTAAGACAAGGAAAAATAATACCTCAACGCATCACCTCTAACAGCAACTTGATCCACAGACACATTTATTTATCTTTTGGATCTAAACGAATTAATAGTATGTTTATATTTATTAATAGTATATATTTCTTATTCCTTCAGTCCGACATTATAAGTTGACAAGACTTGCAGTGTATAATCAATATAAAGTGACAACTGTGTAACAAATTAATGATAAACTAAACTCTTTATACACATTATTCACAATGATTAATATGTTTCATGACATTACCTCTCTCTTCTACATCTGAGTTTAAGCCAAGAAGAAAACACACAACCCGTGGATGCGGCTCGCTTCAAGCGAAGCGCTCGGTTTATTCTCCGAAAAGACTAAAAGATACACACGACATGGTGGTACATCGTGGCAACTGAAAATGATAATTGTAACTTTATAGTGAAACAAACACCAGTGAGTGAACAGCAACAACAACTATAAAATCAACGAAATTGCAGTTTGTCAGCACTGTCTTTAAAACAAACGCTTTGCACATTATTTTTTTCAGTGCTTTAGTGAATAAATGTTGGACTCGGTAGCAAAACTCTGTGTGATTTCTATGAGAACAAACGTAGAATATCAACAAACACTTCAAGAAAACAAAAGACATGGTGGAGGGTATAAAAGTAGATGATGGAGTTACATTTGTTCAAATATTCATCTTCCACATTTGGAGGGCTTTTTGCCGTTGTGTCCCCTAACCAAAAAGTAGGCGAACTCTAACCCTAACCTCGGAAAACTCCGAGAAATTCTTTCTATTTCGTGGCTCAATTGACCAAGAGGGTAGATTCATTTTTTACATTTAGATATTTAAAGTAAAGATTTACAAATAAATTAGTAGTATTTTTATAATTTTCAAAAATATTTACGTTAACCAATTCAGTATTAATTTTAGTCCTAATAAAATTACGCATGTATCAGTGCTGCTTTTAAGATGGGAGCAAAGGATTTTAGAGTATGAATTTTGGGGGGAAAATGGTCAATTTTCAAATACAGCTGTAATTCATTTTCCTTTAAAGGAAGTTGGCAGGAATGTGGTTTAATTCATTACCTAAATTTTAATATCGATTTTCCACGCTGATCGTCAAAGTGACGTTATCCAGATTTTCCTTTCGTTTTTTGAGTTTCATTAAACTGATTTTTTTGCTCCAAAAATGTTCTTTAACTTTTTACTGTGGGCAGTGCAAAAAATTTACTTTAGCAACAATTTGTGCCTTGCCTGACACGGAAGGTTTCCTGTTTCACTAAGTCTTGGTAGTGCTACTGTAATGAACTGACCTTTCCCTCTCCTCCGAAATGCTGAGGTCAAAAGAAAGATAGTTCAGCATAACTGCGACTGGCTCGTGACAAACAGCTTTAAATTGTACGATATTGCCGTGATTGAGATCATACAGTAAACGAGCTTCTTTAGTGAATGCATCGATAAATTGTAAAGACGAACCAAGCAATTTCTTTACAACAACTGACTCTCCTGAATTCCTGTCCAGGTCTTAAGCATACTTTGTCCTAAAAACCGCTATGAACAATCCTTGTCCAACCACATCCTGTTCCCCTAGATCACTCCATTTAAATTCTGGAAGGCCCTCAAAGCGAACGATTCGCTTCTTCACCGTCAATGCCAAAGGCACTTTGAAATTTCCAAGAGAAACATGGCATAGAAAGAGGTAAAACAAAGCACGTAGTTGCAACAAATACACGAATTTTCCCGCCAAAATGCTGCGCAAAAATTGAGAATTTCTCTGTAGAACACTGTATAAAGTTGTTATGAAATATTAAATTCTCCTGAGTCTTCCGTTTCCTGGATACGACAACCGGGAGTCTGTTTGATTTTTGTTTTTCGGAAAAAAAAACTGAAACGTAAGAAGCTTATAAATGGGAAAGGGTAGACTACAAAAATGGGAGGAAGCTGAGGTTCTGTAAGGCTGTCAAGAAGGAGCCATTCAACCAGTTTTTAGTAGCAGAAACCTGGTTGTTACCATTAGCATGTCGAGCTGTTATGGGACAAACTGCCCACCTACAGCACATGTTCACAGCACAACCTTCACACACATCTTGCCTGTGCACAGTCCATTACTATTAATCTTTATTCTTCATGCAATATCTAAGCCCCCGCGAGAGGTCGTGGAGCCTAATAAATTTCACCACCTAATCCTATTTGGCGCTGACTGTTTTGCGACAAACTAAACTTCAGTTTCTTGTAGCATTTGGAAACATTTAAATTAAATGTCGTCTTAAAAGACAACTTTTGTGAAAGCTATTTAGTTAATTTGTTTACGTTAGCACGATTACACGTTGTATTGGAGCGGTCTGTTGGTTTCAGTTATTAGCATTATTGAATAAAACTTGGAAATCAGTCTTTTTCTTCATTTCCATGGAAACCATAGCTCCGACGAGGGTAAAGTCTGTCAGGTACCAACAAGAAAAAAGGTCAACGAAACAGACCTTATCTAATCATCGTCCTCATCGTCAGTCTCTGTGGTAGCCAGTATTGGGTTCTTACGCCGATTAAAAAATAGTCACAGTCTTGTAATCTACACGAATCCAAACACTGATCCCTTTGAGAGACAAGTACAGTTTGGCAGCTCACAACGCCTCTTACACTGGCATAACAACAATTACAACACTTATCCAGTTAACTATCAGTTTACCGTCCTCAATACTCCAACCATAGCCAACTGGGGAGGGTATCTTTGGGCAGCTCTGGAGGCTTCGACGCCATATTGCACCCTGGTAATTAGGCCCAGTCTCAGTGCTTACGCAGAGTGTTCATGCATGCCGGAAGCTGGTTGGAGTCGAGGTCTCCTTTCCTGGCACAGAAGAGACGAAAACACAGGTCATTCACATCACTGTTACCTGCATTCGAGCTTTAAATCTTAAAGGAGAACTCTTTAATTGGAGCAAATAGTTCATTAGACACTTCTCACTCAGTACCAAGTGCTTAGAATAGCTCCCTGAACTTCACGTGTCGCTTCGTCAACCTCAGTGCAGATAGTTTTCCTTTCACAAAAAGGCGCCTTCACTATAACAACCAGTGGAGGCATTTAACCCAGGAAGACAGGTGCACAGCGCTGAGCTTTGGCGCTGGACAACATGTTCGATGTCGAGAAATCTATACTGTCTTGCTATCTGGAAATATCTGGAAGAAACAGACCAAAGAGGGTTTTAATTAATGAAACAACATCATCGTCCGCGACTGATCATGAGAGCAGGTGGATTTCAGACAGAAAGTGTAAAGAACCATACAGATTATAGAAAGGTTAGAAAATTTGAACAGAAACAGGGGCTAGTACATTCATGTATGATGCACCAATCGGGGTTGTTACAAGTAGCCATCTGTGGTTGAAAATCAACGCCTACTTAATTACACTAGTCATCTAATTAACATGACACTGCACTTACTTTAATTAGTCATATATTTGAAACTTTGTGACAATCCTGTTAACTTTGGCAATGATGTTAGAATTAATTTTATAGATATAAATATTATTAGGAGTGTCCTTCTTTCAACGACATCAGCAACATATAAGGAGACTTTTGCTTCATCACCTGTTGTAGAGAGGTTCAAAAAAGAGTCAATGACTGGATTTTTTGTCCACCGAGACAAAAAAAGGAGTCATTGTAGAGAGGTGGTCGTTAGTGGAGGTTCATGACTGGATGTCAAAGTAAAGCACAACAATATTTTTAATCATTTGGTCAAGATGCATGTTCCTAGACAAGAACACTTTGCTCAAAATTTGGCTAAATAATGGGTTAAACTTAACCACCGTTGGAGGAACTGAGCCCAGATGTACCAATATTTGTTTTTAGAAATTTACATTCAATCTATTAAAAGTGTTGATTGATGAAAATAAAGATGTTATAAATTTCACTTTTCCTAAAACATGAATTCTACAGTAGAAATGTGGGCCCTCAAAAAGGTTATTTTCCTCTCCATGACAGGCTGCTCTAATCAAAACTCTGTTACTTCTCCCGCTCCCCAAAGGTTGTGTATATGGATCATGTACAGGCCTATGTAGGCTGATGTCACAAATCAAAACGTCTTCATTTTATAGCTTACTAAATTCATTCCCCATGGCTGGCTATACACTGGCGCTGAAGTGAAATTAATAATGTGTCATTTCTTGTAATGGGCTAAATGTAGCCTGCTAATAATTTTGGGGACATGGTTTGCACGTTGCAGCTTGTTCATATTTTTTGAAGGAGAAAATGGCCTCAGTTAATAATGTATGATTCCTGTTTCAGTGCTTGCAGATAACATTAAGTGCTAGGTATTTTTTGGAGAGGCTTGTTGCTGTTCTGTTAACGTTGTCTGCATTGAGATGCACAAATAAATAAAACACATGGTATAACTATTATTAGTAAAATCCAACTAGTGGTCTATCGTCAATGCTGCGTTCTGATTGGTTGAACTACTACTAGGCTATATGTTATAGCCCACTAGTAGGAATAAGCTCCGGCTTTAAAAACCAAAACAATGGCAGCTGAATCGTGTTTTGCTAGCTCAAGTTGTTTTGTCTCTATGTTTTTGACCAACTAGTTGAATTTTACTAAAACAATATTATTATTCCTCTTGCCCTTATGGCCTCTAGCTGGGTCATAGTCCATTCGGCCTTCAGCCTCATGAGTATTGACTGACAGAGCCCACTGGGGCGTGACGAATAATTGTTAAATAATATTGGTTTGTCCTTGTTGTGCAAAATAATATACATTGTTTTTTTAATAACAGGGCTGAAAATTATACCACACAATGGCATGAGGTGGAGAGAGCAAGGGCAGCTATTGTAAAAACGGAAACTTGTTCCCACTCCTCAACATTGAGAAAAACAAAGTAAGAGTTTCCTGCCTGCTAAACACAAAAGGTCAACTGCATCTGACTGTGTCTCTTCTTATATACTTGTCTTAAAGGAGCTCTTTCCATCCACAGAGTTATTTTTATTAGAACAGTTCAGTTTTTTCATCTATGAGACATTGAGCACAGTGACCTCGAGTGCACTGCCTTCAATAGCAGCGAGTTTAAGCAACAAGAATGCTGACATCCCGGACATCGTGAATAGAAACCGGAAGTTTTATGACTTGCTTGATAGAACTGTTCTGTCTTGCACAACAAATCTAAATGCCTTTGTTTGAACTTACGCCATACAAATTTGCTGAGACAGAGCACTAGAAGAAAGAAAATATCAACTTCAGGTTGCCATTTTTGACGTCTGGGACATCAATGTTCTTGTTGCTTAAGCTCCCGAATGTTATATAAGTGGTGTTAATATTATTACTTTTGCATTGCATGTCTTCACAATTTCAGTTTGATTTCCCCGTAGTCAATAAAATTTCTTGATTTTTTTACCTGTGGATGTATTTAGTTAAAATAAGAAAAAGCATTGAGATCTGTAAGGAGAAGGTGTCCCCCCTTAAGCCTGTTCCAGACAAATTGACAAGAGTAGGCAAAAAAAGGGATCCCCATTCTCCCCACTCACTCTGTTTTTTACAGCCTCCACTATATAAAAGTCTGGAACAGGCTACGGGTTCTTTTATTAAATTTATGCATTAATTCTAATAACGAATACAGAACATGAGGACTTTTAGTTGTCTTGCAACTTGCTTAAGTCCTCAAGAAGGACAACTTTGTAAATGAGTATATCAGAAACAACACCCTAATACACTTTGCATTAATTTCTCCTTTATGAATAATAATTATTTTTGACATGAAATCAAATACAATATAAATTGTTACACAAGCATAAGCAAATAACACCGGGTTTGCTACTTCTCAACTTTTGGCCTGCCTAAAAGAACTGTAGTGTCACTGTATGGCCACCCTTATGGCCTGTTTATTTTGGCCTCCTACCCCCCGTTGGCCTCCTATCCCCTCTTTCCCCCCACTTTCCCCTTTGGGCCCCCTTGGCCCTCTCTGAGGGCCCACAGGAACAGTCTGCCCTTATGTGACCCCTCCCACCACAGTTGAAACATTTCTCTGCAAAACAAAAAATATATAGAACAATTAACAAGGCCCTGAAGAGAACAGCTGCCTCATATAATTTTAACCTCAAATACTGTGGAGATATATTAAGTAGAGGAACACTATCAAAGGGATTTCCCTGCATTTTCAAAAATCATCACTACTTCTACAGACTCAAGCATCCCAAAAATAACTGCAGATGTATTTTTAGGGTTGGACTCCGAATTCTGCTTCAATGTCAGTTATGCAAGACTAAAAATCAAGTGGTTTGGACAATCACCCTACAAAGTGGACCTAGAAACAACTTTGTTTGCTGAGTTTATAGATTTCCAGGAAGTGTATTCTATTTTCCAGGACTTTCTACTTGTGGAAAATGCCACAAAAAAATTCCACGACTTTCCAGTGCCACTAATACGAAAGCAACTGATCAAGTTATTTTACAATTAAAGCAGAAAGAGTGGCACCAAAGCCTTTAGGCTTTAATCTTTTTCCTCCACAGGCCCAAAAGCAGCTTATGCAATTAATTATGCAGATATGTAAGACAAGCAAATGTTACCACCAAGCCTAATATTTTGAAGAGAATATATAGCTGATCAAAGATTCCAATTTATTATATGACTTTAATGTCAGGAAACAAGTTTGTTGACAAGTGATTGGGACTCAAGGGACACAAAACATAGAATGAGCAGCCATAAGAAAACCATAGTAAACATAGTTAGCTGACTTTCTATAACCTTCATTTCCTGGAATGGAAAGAGATTAATAAAATCATTTAAAATAAAATTTATGACGAAAACCTACTGTTTTTAAAACGATTCCACTCCTCCTGCAATTTAAAAATGGCAGCATCAATTTTGAGTTACTGTTTAACCTATGCAAGGCGAACTGAGCGCAGAATTATCGACAACAAAAAAGTAACCTAACCCAATTATTTTTATGAATTTTTTGTACGAGTCTCCGAAACTTTAACTTCTAAACTAACTAACTTCGAAACTAACTTCTGGTACCGAACATGGTTTAATTGCTGTATAAGTACTGCTGTAAAATTATACTGCTTGGAGAAATGTTCTTATCTGGAGAAATAGTGTAATAAGCCTACATAAAAAGATTACTGCATGTTTTTGAAAGTAAAAAGTTTTGGTTTCTCACATTTTCGGTAAAAAACAAACAAACAAACAAACTTCCTGGTAGAAGTAAGGTCATAGACCATCGAACAATATTATACAGCTGTATCAAACGATGTAGTTTAATAGTAAATATCCAAAGAATCTCCTTGTTGTCAACCACAATATGTTTATAACCATAATATTATTATATTTACATAAAACAAAATTTCATAGCATGATTCATTTACTTGGATCCGGATCATCATTAGGATTGTCTGAAAATAAACATGCATATGAATCACCTCTCGTACTAACCAACTGAAACAAGACAACATCTAAAACATGGCCATTTTCTGTAAGCAAACTCACAAAAAAATAGTTTTATAATTTCGTTCTCTTTTAACCCACAGGGGTTCAACTACTTCCAAGTAACATACTTCACACATAATGTGATCTCTTCATCTTCTGTACGTAGTTGTCCTAATATATGCTCACAATACAAAGATACATTATACATTACATTATTGCTCTTACAAGAAGAAGATTGTTGCTTTCACAATAGTGCAGTCTACAGGTTTTTATGTATAATAAATTGTAATGAAGATCTCACACAGGCACTCAAAACTTAAGCAACTGTGATATCACTCAAGTTTTATAAATGGTTAAAGCAAACAGATACAAGTATAAGTATCAAGATCACTGTAACTCGAAACCCCAGGAGGAAATGATATATTTGTAAAATTAGTTCCTGAATCGGAAAAGCTGATTACCATACCCAGCATTTATATTGGACCAGGTGAAGCTCATGTTGATTATTCTGTTGAGGCCAATAGCATACTCATGATTATTATCTAAGACTATTGGCCTCGTGAATTTGGTAGCAAGTTTCCAGGCTTATTATCTCACTTATTTTTCACCGAATAGGAGGATAAAACTATTTCTCGTCCCATACGTTATACAATTAGACTAGATTAAAATATTG